CGACGCTAAACTTAAAATAAATTTAAATTAAATATTTTAAGTTTAGCGTCGAAAAAGCTGATGCTATTCTTTAAATATAGTGTCAGCTTTTCCGACACTAATTTAATTTAAATTTAAATTAAATTAGTGTCGGAAAAGCCGACGCTATATTTAAAGAATAGCGTCGACTTTTCCGACACTAAAGCCGAAGCTATATTTAAATTTATATACGCATAATGTGTCCTTGGTACACTTGGTTATCAAGTTCACTTAAGACCTCAAGGTTCACGGATCGAGTCCCAGGAATGTTAAAAATACGAACGAATAAATGATAACCTGAAAAAAGAAGATAAAAAAAAAAATTGTGTCAACATAGTGTCAGCTTAACCAACAATAAAAAAAATTAAAATGAATAAATTTGTTAGTGATGGCTTAGCCGACACAAAAAAAATTGTGTCAACATATTTAGCGTCAACCAAAAACCGATGAATAACTGACAATATTACGTCAGTTTTTATGATTTAGAGTCGGCTTTTGGCCGACTCTAAATCGAAACATTCTTGTAGTGATGGTCCCTTAAAATTTGTTTAGAAAAAATAAGAACAAAAAGTGGTTGAACCAGTTTGACCCATCAGTTCACCGATTAAATCGAAAAATTGACTGGTTCAATCCGATTTGAAACGAATCGACTGCATAACCGATCCAACTTAAGATTCGAACCGGCTGGACCACCGGTTCCCGGTCCGACCGGACGGTTCGATCCGGGTTTTAAATCACTAAATATAATTATCTAAAACAACAAAATATCATAAGTATCATGATTAAAACATATTTAATAAGGACTTTTATCATATATGTTCCCACCTTTTTTATTCAAACTAATAATCTTCACTTGTTAGCTTAGAAATTCCCGTTGAAAGTTTTTCTAGTGGTTTAAGATTTATATTTCACCACATTCTTAGTTAGCTTTCGATAATCACCCCGAACTTAGTTATTTTGGTAGAGGAAAACTTATTTCCAATTACATTCCTATACAACTCTTAGATCGATTGGGTGAATATAACTCTTTATTTTAATTTATCATAAAAGTTGATGTCGAACTCTTGCCTCCAAGCTTATCAATCCTATTGATTTTTCTTAGTTAAGTTAAACTCAATTATTAGCAATTGGATACTAATCCATCGCACCTCTCCAAGATTGATTAAGAGACTTAGTTTTATCATGATCCACAATTATATAATCAAGACCTTGACGAGTGCCACACATTGAAAGACATATAACTCAGTATTAATTGAGGGAATTAAGTGATCTCATCAACGTTGTTTAGACATATAAGGATCCAAATTCATTTTCTTAAATAGATAACGTGGCGAACAAACCCTTAAGAATCCAAATTCATCAAACACAAAACAGAACTACGACTCCCTTTCAAGATTCAATTCTTAAACCAACTTAATACTTCTATCTACACCAATCTTGGTTAAGAAACGGCGCAATCCATCACAACATATAGCATCCCCCATTTTCTTGAAGTTTAAATCAGTCAATAGGTATCCATATTTGTTAATTTTAGTGAAAAATATAATCAAATTCATATTTGTAACGACAACGTAATCCACGATGATTTCACCCGGTATCAAAATAAGAAAAGTGCTCCCCAGTAGAAAAAGGAACATCAAATTACATTTAGAAACGGGAGAAATTGTAGCACAGTTTGGCACATCATAGTGCTGACCAATTTTCATGTGATATCCAACCAATTATCTGTCACTTAAACCGTGTCTCCCATAATATAAGCACACATTATTCATCATCACTTTATTAGTATTCTTTCACGAAAACATGCAGAAATAAAAAGAAGTGAAACATATTCGAGCACGCAATATCAAGGTTTAGATCCAATTTCGAAGGAGATTGGTATTGGTTGAAGGAGAAGTGGAACCTTCTTGTTGACAGAGATCCCATGTTTCTCACTCATGTCTATGCCTTGCACTGAAGCATGAGTTTGAGGCAGCTTCCAATCGAACCAGCGAAGAAGATTAGCAAGTGCATACTCAGCCAAAGTGATCCCAAATGTAATTCCAGGGCACCCCCTTCTCCCAACACCAAACGGAATAAACTCAAAATCTTGTCCTCTGAAATCTACCTTGCTGTCTTCGAATCTCTCTGGAATGAACTCATCTGGTTTCTCCCAAAATTCAGGATCCCTCTGAATTGCCCATGCGTTCAACATTACTCTTGTCTTGGCTGGAATGTCGTACCCTCTTAGCTTCACAGCAGAGGATGTTTCTCGAGGAAGCAAAAAAGGAGCAGGTGGATGTAGCCTTAGAGTTTCCTTGACTACACACTTCAAGTAATTCATTTGTTTCACATCGTTTTCATCCACTTCTGCTTTGTTCCCGACCACTCTTCTTACCTCTTCTTGGACCTTTTCCATGGTATTTGGATTCTTCATGAGCTCTGCCATAGCCCATTCCAAAGTGGTTGAAGTTGTGTCACTTGCCCCTATAAACATGTCCTGAAATTATGGAAAATGGAAATTAATTAAAGCTCATTAATTATTAGAAAATAGTTGCCTCAAAGTTTTTAAAGATGAATACCACTAGCAATGCTTTGAGGTTATCTTGGGAGAGGTCAAAACCGAGCATTCGAGCCTCCTCAAGTTGAAGGAGAATATCCACGAAGTCTTTCTTATCAGATTGACCATCACCTTCACCTTTCTTCTTCATCTTTGTTTTATGTTCTGCAATCACCTGATCAAAGAAAACATCTAACGAACTAAGAGTGGCCTTTAACTTCCGAATTCGGCCCGTTAGAACATCAACCCAACTCAACGAGGGGAAGAAATCTCCGACACAGAAAGCCGTGAACTGACTCAACAACTTCCTCCGAATCACTCCGAAGCTTCTACTACCATCGGGTGAGTCATACTTTTGTCCAAAAACGCACCTAGACAATGTGTTGTTGGTGAGTGCAATCAACAACTCACTCAGATGCACGCATGAGCTTCCACTTTCACTTCCACTGGCACACGCCTCGCGTATGGCAGCGATCATTTCCGCGACTTCTTCAGCGCGGATGAACTGAAACGACCGCACGCTTTTCATGCTGACGAGCTCGAGAACGCAGACCTTTCTTTTCTGTCTCCACTCCTCGCCGTAGGGGGAGAAACCAATGTCCTTGTAGCCGTAGAAAAAGACTCCAGTAGCGGTTGTCTTGGGGCGGTAGGAGAAAACGACGTCGTGGTTTTTGAAAATTTCTGCGGCCACGTGTGCAGATGAAACGATCAGCGTTGGGATCTGGCCCATTTGAAGCATCATGAGTGGGCCATAGTTGCGAGAGAGGGCTTGCAAGGAACGGTGTGGCAGCGTGCCTAGCTGGTGAAGGTTTCCGATGAAGGGTAGCTTGGGTGGGGATGGAGGTGCGTTGGATTTGCTTCTTCTTCTGATCTTAAACACCACCAACCCCAATGCCACGCTCAGAAAGACGCAAAGCACTGATAAGTTGATGGCTGAATATGTTGATTCAAGAGCCATTTCCTTGTACTCTTTCCAAGGAAAATGCCGAAATGTACCATTGTAGCGCGTCCATTTATAGACATTTTTGTCTTCATATCGTTCAATAATGCCAACCAATTATGCAATGCAATCAATCTTTCTCGCCTAAGTTTCCAGCTTATTTTATTTATTACATTTCTTTTCTATTTATAAAACTCTTATGCTGTTATATATATATAAAATAAAAAAAATATTATTAAACCCTAAACCCTAAATAAATATATCAAAATTAAAGGAAAAATTTGGATAAAAATATTTTAATAATTCCTAATCATTATTAGACTTTTGTAAAACTACTATTGAAAATAATGTAAATATTTTTTTATATATTGAGAAAAGAGAAACATTAGAAGGAGGTTTGAATTGTGTCACTCAAAAAAATTCAACTTGATGCAAGACACTGAAGTAATAAAGATACAATAAGGAGTGAAAATGACGAGGTATACAGAATAAACATAAAGTGTTTTTATATTGATTTATCTTAACCACTGAGATTAGGTCTAGTTCTTGGTCCAACTAGATCAAGTTTCACTATTTTATCTATGAAAGAGTATTCTTTATGAAGTCACTTCTTGATCAGTCCTAAATGTTTTTTGACTTGTCTCTTCAAGCAATTATCTAAGTATTCTTTTTACATAAATTCTCTCTAGGCTTCAAACACCAAATATTCTTTTACAAACAAGTTTTTCTATGCTTAAACCCAATAACTCAAAGTTACAAAGGTTTATAAATTTGTTTCGCCTTCCTTTCAAGATGTGATACAACCATGAAGTACAAGGTAATTTATAGAAAGAATGAGAAAATAATATTTCTTTGTATGTGCATTCTCAGCCTCTATTGTCTCTATCTTTCTGAATCAGTAAGCTTCCTTATATAGGTGCTTTAAAGAAGATAACTGTTGCAAATCCTTGAGCTTCTCTCACATGAGTTTCTTCATTTGTATTCATGTTTTACTTCTTGAGGAGAGAAGTGTTCATTGGTGTAATAAATGTTTATACTAAATGTTTTCACCGAATTGTCATTTCTTATCTGGTCAAAGAGGATACTTATGACCTTTTAGGTACCAAGTGAGTAGAATCATGCATGTGTCAGGTTGGAGCAGTATTGAAACAACTTTAACTAAGCTACAACTTTCCATAGGGACCTGCTTGTCCTTTTTTGAAGCAAAGCATGTATTTCTTTCCTTTTTATGAAGTGTAGGTATTGAGAAAATATTTTTGAATTCGATCTGTTAAGGAAACATTCACATACAATCACTTTCCTTTTTAGAGATCATAAATGATAAAGATTTAATGCATATTTCTCTTTATAAATAAAGATTCATCTGAGTTAGCAAAAAGAAACATTATCTTAGTGTAGCTTTCAACTTATAAAATATTCGTCTTATTAAAAAGTTGCATCTTAATGAGAAGTTGGTATAACATTAGAAGATTCGTTTTAGTCATTTTGAAAAGTTTCCTATTGTTCAACAACCTCTTTAATTGTTAAAAACAAATTTTTTAAATCAGAGGGATCTATGGTTGTCTTTAGACCCAACATTCTCCCCCATTTTTGATGGTGAGAAACATATGTTTTTGAAATAAAGGTTTCGATAGAAAAGCATAGTTGTGACTAGAATTTTTCTTTTCAAACTCATAAAAAGATATTAGTGTTAAGACAAAGTAGCTTCTTTTTACAAAAAAAAACATTTATGAGTGAAAGACTTTATTTTTATGAAGACGATTTTGAAAGTGTCGAATGATATCAAAGTAAAAGTCATGATTTTCACAAGAAAAAGTTTGTTCATAATAGGGTTTTCATTAGAGCTTTTGTAGACATGATGAAATCATGTGAAAACTTTTCATTCAGAAAAAAGACTAATTGCAAAATCTAATTAAGTCATACTCAAGGCAGAAAATATGTAAAACAACATATATCAAATCAAATATATTTTAGAGCAAAACATAATATGTATTAGAGTAAAAATGTATACTAGAGCATAACATATCAAATAAATAAATAAATAAATAAATAAATATATATATATATATATATATAT